AATTGGTGAACAGGTAAAATGCCAAAGAATTGATGTCTGATGCTGTATAATTGAAATCTAGAAGCATATATTTCGCAGTTTAGGTTCATGGGCATAAGCTTACCAACTCGATATGAGAATTGTCCTAAAGCCTCAATGAACGGCATTGATTCAATGTCCCCTGCATAAGGAGAAGAAGACCATTCTCAGTCCCAGCAATAACATAAAAAGAAATCACCCAAATAGTAGTAAAGCATAACCCTTATCCCCAAAATATGAGTGACATGTTTTTATCTATAAAAGATGAGTTTAGACTCTCACAATGTGGCAGTGTATATTTGGTATTATATGTTGACATTATTGACATTTTAAGTCTTATTTTGGGAATAAAAAATAGAGATTCTATTTTGATACTTTCTCTATGTTTTACTCCTAATTTAGTCTTTTTTTCCTAACATATACAGAGTAAAAGGAATCACGCTAAGAAATAGTGTTAGGATACCTATGGTTCCACCCAATTCTATGACACAAACATCAGCCGGGCCCTCTTTACCATCAACAGGAATTGCAGCTACACGTTCAATCCATTCTTGAATGGCATCTGTAATGTGAGGGACAACCTAAACAAGGGACATCAAACATGAACAACAATAAAACATACCTATTTGTGTGTGTGTGTGCCTGTGTGTGTGTGTAAATGTAAAAAGTAAAAGCATACCTGAACAGTGGTTCCCAAATAATCTCCTCTTCTCTCCTTATCAATAACAGACTAACAAATTCAAGAGAGAAACTATGTCATATTACTTTCATCAGCATAATGGCACTGCTATAACTATTTTGATTAGGTCTCAATTTTTTTAAGGGAGCTCTCAATATATTATATAGCCAACATAATTTTCACAGATGAGGTTAAGGTGTTATTCACATACCTGATAAATTTTACCAGTAGTTATGTTGTTATCACGTGTCAGCTTGATATCTAGGAAACGCTCATAGTTGCCTAGATCTAGGTCCACCTAAAAAAAGTAGAAAGTGTATTAAATCTTTTGTTGCCATCAAGGAAAGACATGACAAAGTATTAGCATCCCACAAATCCCTTTTTCCTGGATCAAGATAAGTAAAAAGTGAAGAAGATTCATGCATAAATACATAACCGAACCAGAGATAAAGTATGAACAAGCAAGAGTAGATTATACTTCTGAAGCTGATTAAAGAAGAGTTGTATTAGCAATGATGCACAGTTTCTCTAGGTAAGACTTGCACTGTGACACTCTATACTGGCATTGTATAGTTTTTTTTTTTGGTATTATAGGTTGATATTATTGGCAATGTAAGTCCTATAAATCATGAAGGTCTTATTTTGATTCTTCCCTTATATTTTACTCCTATTTTAGTCTTTCTCCAAATCAAGTTCATTACAAGACATTAAGTTTTTCTACAGCCTTTTAGTCTTTCTCCACATGGAGTACCTATATCATAGGTCTGGATGTACGGTATTTCCCGTACATCCGCATCAATACTCATTGTCCAGTAACTAAGTACTCATTTTCGAATAAGAGAACATTCATTTTTGAGTAACTGAATGCTGTATTTTGGGAATAACTAAATTTTGGAGAAATGAGTACTCAGTTACTCGAGAATGTGTATTTACTTGCTCGAAAATGAGCATTCACTTACTCGTAAATGAGCGTTCGCCGTGGATGTACGGGAAACACCGTACAACCGGTTGTACGGTATATATTGCGGCTCACATGCAACAAAACAGAGTAATAGTATGAACTATGAAGTGAAAACAGGGGGGTAAAAATTCTCACCTCGCCTCCATCATCCAAGACAAACACTTCTCCATGTTCAAAAGGAGACATAGTTCCAGCATCAGTATTCAAGTAAGGATCTAGAAAGCCATGATGGGAAGAAAATGATAATCAACATCTGCTGCAAAGATAATCAATCCTTCCATTTTCTTTATCAGGTGAGGATTTTATTTTCAATTTCCAGACTTACCCCTACTAAAGTCCAAACAAATTACTGTAATTACTACTACTATGAAACTGTGTACTTTTCAGTGAGTAGAAATGGGTGTTGCATATCAATATAATTTTACAACTAACTCAGGAATCATTACTGAATTTGTGTGCAATTAGATTGTGGATTATCTTTGTGGTATTGAAAAAAACTCCGTACTGGCTAAGTTTGACCTTTAAAAATACTCCCTCTATCCTGGAAATTGTCACATTTTTTTACTCCGTATTTTCCTAAAAATATAAGGTACTCTTTCTGTTTCAAAATAAACTCCCATCCGCGTGCAAAATCACATTTATTTTAAAATTATTTTATCTACAAATTAGAATAGAGATAAAAAGTACAAAATTTATATTTTAAAACTACATCAAAAGTTCTACTCTTCCGTTCATCAAAACAGTTCATGTTTTGACTTTTGCTGGATTTAATTTTATAAATTGACTTTCCAATTAAATCAATAACGTCGACAAGAAAGGAGTGACGACACACTTTGATCACAAATTATATATAATTTTAAATAATTAAATATTATAAAAATTTGATATTTCAAAACTAAATTTTAAAATAAACTTAGTTCTACTAATTTACACTATAAAAAAGTACATTTTTTCCACAATTTATGATCAAAGCATTGCAGAGTTTGACCAAAAAGTTAAACTATGACAAATTTTTTGGGACGGAAGAACTATATGCTTTACAAATCTCAACTAATCAATTTTTACTTTTCCAACACTTCATAGTCACACCAATGAAATATATTCTTTCCGTCCAAAAATTTCTTTCACAGTTTAACTTGGCACGGGGTTAATGGATAGAGGGAGTACTTGTATATGCAACCAACCAAAATCATATCCGCCCAGAAGAAGAGAGCAGAAGAGGGGAAGGAAATGCCCAAATTATGCCTACTCTCTGTGAAATAATAGGTAACAAAGGACAAAAAAAAAGCAAGAAAAGTGGTTGCCTTTACCATTTGAGAGGCTAAATTTAGGTAGGGTAAAACCATTCGATTAAGGATGGGAAATAACACACTACATATGAACAGAGAGAGAGAGAGAGAGAGAGAGAGAGACCAATTTTAATGGAAGTAACACGAAGGCCGCAAGCCTTAAGGATGAGGCCAATACTGCTAGCAGTGACCCCTTTCCCGAGGCCGCTAACCACTCCTCCGGTGACCAGTACGTATTTCATCCCTGAGCTTTCCGGTCAACAAAAGCTGCCCGCCGCCTGCCTGCAATACAACCAACCAACTTACAACCCAGACTTCTCGCATTTCTAATACGGAGTAATCTAACTTTTAATAGACATGCATTACCCTGTTTTTGTTTTAATGGAAAAAAATCGCGCAACCGCTAGCTGCCGCCGGGGCTGAGCTTACCCGGCCTATCGACGGCGGTTTTTATAATAACAATAGTGGTGATTGTGAAACTCTAGGTGAAGGGTTGGCGGCTTTTATATACAACTGATGGAAACGTTGTTTTGTTTTTCTTCTGTACGACCACAGTATTCCGGAACTACTGTTAAACTCATTCCGTTGCTTTCAAAAAAATTCATTGACTAGGAGAAACAATTAGGGTTAGTTTGGTATACAGAATCGATGGAATTAGAATTGAAATTTTAAGAGATTCAATTCCATAGAATTGAAAATCGCCAATTCCAATTCATTCTTTGCGTTATCAATTCCAAATCCACATAATTTTTGTGCTATCAAACACCAGAATTGGAATTGAAGTCCTCAATTTCAATTCCATACTTTGAATTCTGTATACCAAACGAGGCCTTAGTCATTCCTCTCCTTGGAAATTGGAATTTAGGGCTTGTTTGGGAGAAAATAAGAGGAAAGAAAATAAAAACGCTAGAAAATGAAAAAAAATAATTATTGTTCGGATGAGTGGGAAATGAAAAGAAAAGTAAGAGGAAATAAAACTTGATGAAGTTAAAAAGATATTTTTATCCTTATACAGTTATACTCCTTCTATCCATATTTTGATGTTTATTTGTGTTTTTCATTGATTATTTGATAAAATAAAATATTTTTGTCATCTCTTATTTTGTAAAACTTTAAACGTAGTATTTTAATATATAATTTTTATTTCTTATCAATATATAATTTATAAATAAAATGATTTCAAAAATTGTTGGATTTTGCATCGTAATTCCCATTTTGTAATCAAAATAAGGACAGAGGGATTATGATAATGTGCCAATGTGCAAAGAGGAATGCTAGGGATACATCATTTGTACACAATTGATCCTAACCATTGATTATTTTTTTCATTTTTAATTTTTTTTCTCTTGCATTTGTGTGGTAGAGATGGAGGGGACCAAGGTACAAATATAAGAACACTAAAAATATGTTTGAAGCCCTGGGCTTCAGACCTTCTCTTTGCCACATCAACTTCAACTCATCTGTAACTTACTTCACAGTTTCACCGAAAATGGGTTTGAAGCTCTGTGACTTCAAACTGGAACTTCAAATGTTTATTTTTTAAAAAAATTAATGCACATATTATAAGAGTAAATTGATAAGAATTCATTAATTAATTAAATCTAAACAGTAATACTTCATTAAATAAAAAAATTTACATGAATAAAAAAAGATTTTAATAATAACAACATAAATAAAAAATTTAAAATTACATTACATTACGAAGAAATTAATGATTATTTGAGTGACTAAAAATATGTTCAATCAAATCCGTTGTTAGTGCATTGTGAATCTCTCGTCTTCGAATTTCTTGGTTGTTTCTTCGTTTCTTTTCTTCGTCGATTTCTTTGTACATAAGCACATCCTAGTTCGAGTTGAAATGACAAATTACAAAGTCGTTGTACTCTATAATCATATTATGAAGAATATTACATGCGTATATGATATTCCTCATTTTTGTTTGAGAATAACACTTGGACGTACGATCTATTATATGCCATGTAACACCCTAATCCGTCCAAGTTTACAGCCCCTTCCGAACTAAAGTATTAACTTGGTAATCGTATAATTTAAAACATTTCAAATAACTTTATTCATCATAAATGAAATTCCAAACATAATTGTAGTAAATACGGAGTGTTTAATGCGGAAGCGATTTTTAAACATGACTCATAATAACATAATCATTTATTTTCTCAATAAATCCACCACGACTGTCTCGCCCCTTCCGCTGCCATGAACATGGCATTCACTCATTCTGTCTACCTGCGTGTAGCAAATAAAACATACTACACGCTCAGCGATGAAGCTGAGTAAGCATATCTAAAGCGTCGAACATCCACATAAATTGAATCTAAATTCACAAACAACCATTTGATATCATGCACACAATATATGGTTCAAACATTCATAATATTTTCAATATTTTATTCCAAGTCATTTGATATTCAATATATCAATAATGCTCTTAAATTATTCTTAATCTAAGGCCACATCATTTTATATTCAGCTCTTAGCTATTCCTAGTCTAAGGCAGTAATTCTAACCAGGCCCTTAAACTATAAATAGTTTAATGCAGAACACAAGAATCGATAATCCACCCTATGAGTCATGTGGATTACGTACCAACCGAACAATGATTTGTCAGGTGGGTGATATCCGGTCTGGATCCTGTACGTACGTTTTAACCCGAAATATGAATTGGTCAAGTAGGTATATCTTAGAGTTCTTCTAGATATCCTTAATAATCATCATCAATATACAAGTGGGTATATCTTAGAGTTCTTCTAGATATC